AGGGGTGCCTTGAAACTGTGGAGCTTTGTGGCTAGTAAGAAGTATGGTGCCACTTATGTGATGTAAGGGCCTCAGACAGTGGTTAATTCAGCCCCATCTTGTGCAGTCACTCTAGCTTTTAATGGAATTCCTTTGTTTGTTGATGCAAGCACTGAAAAGGCCTTTGTCATCAAACAGAAGATCCTTAATGTGGACTCTCACGTCATCACAGAGCCTGGATGAGCAGAGCAATGTGTACTGGTGGAAGCCAATTGCGCCTGCCATGTTCTTCATCCTGCACTCAGCTTGGAGCCTCACTGTGTGGATCTGTTGCTGGGTGAGATGGGATGCCTCTGTTTGATTGTCCCTTTCCAGCTCTCTGTGCTCTTGGGAAGGTAATTGCACAGAAACTTAATCTTGCCCCATAAAAGCAGGTGGTACTGGGCCATGGTGGTGCCATCCCTACTTGTCTACTCTACAGAGTGGTCTGTCCTGAACCATCCCTGGCCCAACACCACAATGATGAAGTTTGGGTGAGAGTGTTCGAACAGAAAAGGGATGTCTTACTCCTGGACCCTGTATATTCCACGCGCCTTTAAGTCTTCTTGGGGTGAACACAACCAAGGTGGGGGACTTCCAGGCTTGCTTCACTGTGTCCATGAATGGGGCCAGCAATGAGAATCAGCAATGAGAACTGTGGTCTCGGCATACACAGCCTCTACTACAGGGTCCCTCCAATTCTTGTGGGCTGAGGCCAAGGGCCTGAGCCATCCAGAGGACTTGGTTGGAGAAGTGACTCATGTTCTTCAATGGTGATGCAGCGTCTGGTGGTACCATGGCTGCATCTGATGATGGTTCTGAGGGCTCCTCTGACAAGGTGAATTTGGGGTTCAATATGTAACCACTGGAATCCAAGGATAGTGAGTAAAGGTTGATGGCTGGGACTAGTGAAGAGGACCATAGCAGGTGGCTGCCGGGTAGTGCTGGAGGTCATGTCTGTGGGACCATGGAGATCCTGATAGCGAAGTGGCAGTCTCTTGGAGAGCATGTGTCCTTTCTTGGGACAGGAGAGGTGGGGTTAGGCAGCATTCCCTGAAGTATCCATGATTGTATGGTGGCCAATGGTCACAGTAGAATTCCCAAGGGTCATGGGGACTTTATGTGGAAGAGGCAAAGACAAGTGCAATAGTTGGTCACAGTTGGGATAGGATGTTGATCAGCCCGCGATTAATGGAGTGTCTGCAATGATCGTGGTGGCTGCAGATTAGGTTGACGAGGCAGGTAGTGCTGTCAGCACGTTCAAGGTAGAGAGGCTGTCCACAGGTAAGGACAGTGCAATTCTATGAGTGGCCTGGCTTCAAAGCTTGGTCATGAGAGAGTCAGCCCTGTGTTTCTTGGCCTGCTTTGTGAAGGCTCTCTCCTAGGCAGGGGCACCACAGAGAGTGCCCATCATTAGTGGTGGCTTGCAGTTTGCACAGTTTCTGAAAGGGGCTTTGAGGACCATTCAGGGCGGGTGAACAGGAAGGCAGAAGGTATAGAGATGAGGAGAGAATCATCTAGCAAGGAAGGAGGGAGATAGAAAGCAGGACAGTAATATTTTTGTACATCTTTTTGGTGGGGGGAAGCATAGGAAAATGGAAAGGAAGAATATGAGAGGTGTTCTAGGGTAGCAGCTAGAAAGGTGCAAGAATAGGAACAAAAGCTGAGAGGAGAAAAAATAGCTATAGGGAGTTCAGAAGGAAACTTCCTGATGCAACCAGGATAGTGGTCAAAAAACAGGATTGGGTAGGAACCCTTCCTTTCACACCAGGGCAGGATCAGGTGGGGGGTGCCTTCTGAATAAACCTCAGCTATGGAATATCCCAAAAACAGGCTGCACGCATGCACAGAGCCCATACGTGTGATGTACAGAGACCATGAAGAAGAACCAGAGATTATTCTGTCAGTAGGGGAAAGTGAAGACAACTAGCCACTGGGCTTAATATCAGGTAAAGTTGGGCAGTTGAAGTTTGGACTTCAACTTCCAGCATGCTGACCGGGCTGACGGCAAGCTAACCTAGACACAGCAGTGACCTCCCCCAGTCTGGTGCCCTCTGGATGTTCTGGAATACAACTCCAACTAGCTCCAGGCAAAAATTCTGGAAGTGGTAGACCAAAATATTTGGAAGGCAGGGAAGGGTCACCTAAAGTGGCAGCTGTCATCACTCCACATTGGTCCCACGAGATCCTAGAATCCAAAGAGCCCTTAGAATTTGTCCTGGTGTCATGGTTTACCTTACATTAGTAATGCTGGATTGAAATTACAAGGCATGAGAAGGTGGGTAAGTTGCCAGAACCATGCAATTGTTTCCTTCATTGTTTGCAAAGAAACTTGCTGGAAATCATGACATTACAACTCATTATGGCACAAAGTTGTCAATATCTTTGCAAAGGGGATGGAGGAAGAAACTGAAGTAGGAAGAGGCTTTGATGATCTTCAGAGTGCACTAGTTACAGAGGCATACAGGATTTCTGGGGAGTCCAACACTGGCTAAAGGAAGTGGACTAATTAGGAAATTCATTACATTAAAAATTAAGTATATATTACATAATATTAAGCATTAATAAAAATAAATAAATAAGAGTTGTCTGAAAAGCATGTCCAACAGAACTCTTGGTGGATGAAACAGGGCTAAAAAGAAGTGGACAATTACAAAAAGGACTGAGGTAAATTCCAACCTAATTGAGTACATGAGGGAAGTCACCAGACAAAGGATTGTTGTTAGTGACAAAGTCATGCCCGACCCATCATGACCCCACGGACAACATTCCTCCAGGCTCTCCTGTCCAAACAATGATGGGAAGGATCATAATTGAAGGCCAGAAAATTGGGCATGGGGTGCCGAGCTAACAGTCCAGATCCAAGAGACTACATATTATTTCATGACAAGGGTGGAGAACTTTGGGGGGGATTCAGTGGCCACTTTCTGCACCACTTCAGACCACACTCCTGCTGGATGGCAGAAATGGTGTGGTGGCAACAAACATTATGGTTTGCCACCACACCATTTCAGCAGCAAACCACTGAGGAGGCTTCAAAGGGGTAGATTAACTCATGGCACATGTTGCTTTAAAAGACTTCTTCAGTTGTGTAATTGAAAAATTGTGATCTTTCAAGCTTAAGTAGATTAACAGGGCCAAGAAGTAAGGAATTAGATGGAAAAGCTGAATTTTGCATACTGATTTGAACTTATCAGCCATTTTCTTGGCTCGGAGAGCCTTTCCACAGATCTTCAGTAGTTAGTAGTTGTTCATTGCATTACAGATCAGTCATTAGAAAGAACAGTTTTTTTTTTAAGAAAACAAGGAAATGGATAATTTTAATTCTGTTGCTGCCTATGGAAAAGAAGCTTTTGCACCTCAATATTAGTAAGAAAACGGAGAGCTTCCTTCTGCTCCATTTTCAGTTATTTTTATTATGAAGCAAGCTTTTCAAGATACATCTGTTCCACTTAAGATGTGAGCACCTATTGTGAGGGAGGTAAAATATAAATCCCCCCCCGCATTTCTGCAGTGTACAGGCATCTTCAGGTCTGTCAAAATTATTATGTGAGAAGGGAAAGGTATACTAGGGAACCACATCACTATTTACTAGACCATTTTTTTAGAAGTATGATTAGGCACCAGCAGGTATTCCAGCAGCAGATAGGAATGGAATGGGATAGCTTCAATCATCTTTGAGGGGGTTGAGACCTTGAAATACAGAGGAGGTAGGATGAAAGACTAAGAAATATTCTGGGTCACTTAAATGGTGGGTTTGACTTCGGTGTCAAATTATGTAATCATCCCAATAGCTCAATTCACTCTTGCCATTTTATTTTATTTTATTTTTGTTATGCCAGGCTTTTCAGTTGCCCAGTGGGAGCTAGATAATAACATCTATTTCTGCGGAAAACAACATGGATTTCAGCTCGCTGTGTAGTTTTTACTTCGCAGCTGAAGACTGCAATTTATAAATGGCAACAGACCTATGGAAAATTCTCTAAATGAAGGACTTTGCGGTGTGTTATCATTTAACCCCTATTTTTCACTTTCACTAGATTTATTGGCATCCACAGCTGCAACATTAAATGACTCTGAAAGCACAGCAATTAATCCAGAATCCTATTTGTTTTAATCTAACACTGTCAACTGGCTTTAGGTTTCCAGTCAAGAAGAAAAAAAATGTTTGTTAAGCTCCACAGCACTAGCTAATGTCCAAAGACAATCCCTAGAAAAAGGTGTGAAGATGTTTTATAGATGGAACAGAGATTTATTAGGGTACCTAATTCTGGTCCTGCAGATGCCTCACAAATTATAATGAGATTATTAAAACTTTACAAATCATTACATTAAAATTTGACAAGGGTGCTTTTGAAATTAGACTGCTTCACTGTAATTGCTAATGGTATATTGCTACGATAAGCTTCAAGAAAATTTCTCAATAAAACTTCTTCAAGAATTTAAGGTATATTTATTTCACTACCTGTTATAAGTTCAAGGATAATAGGTTTCTGTGCATCAGAAAAACCGAATGATCACAGTGATATCAGTGATAGAAGGATGTTCTCCTGCTACAAACTTTAATTAATTTTCACAGATAGTTAATTTTCTCTTTCATTAAATCTGAAAGACAAACGGTTTATAAACAAATAGAAAACATTGGATGGGGAAAGTATATTTTAGGTGAGCAGGAATTAGTTGCAAGAGTAAAATATATGGAGCAGTGATAGGCCCATATACTGAGCTATTTTGAAAAAAATCATCATAAACATATTCCAGCTAAAAAGACACCTACATTAATATTACCCCAAACCAGTTTATGGGTAAAAAATGTGTTTGAGCTTTGTACTAACAAAGTAATAGCTTCAGTGCCCTTAAACTTCAGTTCATGAAAAATATGCATCTCACAATGTCCTTTGAAAGGGTGACCCATTCCATTAAGGACAATATTCCAGGCCTTCTATTTTTCCAGGCAAAGGAAATTTTAAGTAGCTACTTACCATGATGTACGACACCTTTCAACCCATGGATAATAGGTTCCAGTGCTGGATTGTCCCTCTGATTGACCTACATGTAAAGGATACATGATGGGTTAAATCTATTCTGGCATCAGACAGAAGAAAGAGTATCAATTTAATCATCTAAAGGAGTGGAGGAAGAAAGATGTTATCTAGGAAGCTGTTTCCTGGATGTTATCTTGAAAGCTGATGCATTTAAAGCAGGTCCTTACTCAAAAGTCAGCTTTTAAGATTCATAATATAATAAAATAGGTGAAGGAAGCAGTGAAGGAAGTCCTTAAAAGGCATTAAAACTTCAGGTGGATCATCACAATCAGGGACAGGAAGGAGATTAACAGTTGATAGCTCTGCAGCTCCTTCTTTTGTTCTTACAGATAATGTGTTAGACAAATAATAGAAAAATCAAATTATCAAGCATTTTTACAGGGAAGTGACTGAACGCAGAAAACAGGGAGTCTGACTAAAATGGAATTCCTGTGAATCAGAAGATGAGACTGGTCCTTAACAATATGGTATGCTTTTTATTTGTTTCATCTTTGTGTATTTAATTTTCTGCATTTGTGGGACGAATACCTGGCTTTTTCCAGTAGCTCTGCGACCAGGCTTTCAGAGCAGCTGATCTAAAAACTATAGCATGCATAATATATGGAGAACAGTGATGGTCCAAGAGATACCTACACTGTGACAATGCCAGAGTAAATTAGTTTCTACTCAATATTTTTGCAGCAAAGTGTTTGTACATACTTGCAAATGTTTATGGCCAAGCCATAGACTGCAGCATTGTGGTATTTATTCATTTATAGTATTTATATACCTTTTGATTAGCATAAAGCTCTCAAAATGGTTTATACAATATAATTAAAATATTCAAAATCCAACAATTAAAATGATTTAAGATGAATTATCTGCAGTAAAAATCTTCTCTGTACAATTTTTTTTGGCAGGCCTATACAACAACAGCAACACACTACAATAAATAATGAAAAGTATTCCACATATACCACAATTTTAAAACCAGTATAAAACTAGAAAGTCATAATGGCAGGAAAATAACTTTTAACCTGGCACCAAAATGTATATATTTTTAAAATTTATTTATCTAAAACTTTGATAGACTGTCCCATTACCAAAGTCTTGGGACATTTTAACAATACAAAATGTAAGAAAAGAAAGAAAAATTTAGCAATAATAAAACCCCAAGTAAAACAGGTCTTATAACATTGGGAAAATAAAAAGATTTTGGCCTGGTGTCAAAAAGAATAATGTGACAGCGCCAGGAGAACATCTCTGGGGGGCAAATTCCACAATTGGGGTGCCACCGCAGAGAAGGTCCTTTTCCTAATCTCCCTTCAGGGAGGGCACCCAGAGAAGTCTGTATATAGTGTTGGCCCCAGGCATATTTCCGTGGGGAGCGGATTCCACAAGATAGCTGAGAGGACAAGTCGAGGGTTAACACCAGTTCCCCCACTGTCCCCACTTTTTTCACTTCAAAAATGAAAAAACATTTTGCAATATGCAGTATGTGTAATAGTTAGTTCAGCAAATCTAATGACTGCATATTCACAACTGCCGTTAGTTCCACAGTTTGTTCCTTACTACTAGCTTGTGGTCACTCACAGAAACAGAAGACCAAAAAAGAACAGGAATCAGTCTCAGAGACAGCTTACAACTAGCCTAGTCACTTTTGGAGTTTTCACATGCATTTTCTTTTACTTTCAAATTGTGTTTGCCTCACTTATGCTGCTGTATGGCAGACCTATATAAATACAAAGAAAGAAACTGAGGCCAAAGAAAAAGATAAGGACAATTAGATGAATGGCGAATAGAAATACTGAAAATTGAAGCCAACTTGTCTTTCAGCTGCAAAATAGTTGGTACAAAAGGACATTGATACCGACAAAGATATGGAAAATCCTTTAAGCCATGCTGTAATTCCCATGGTGGTGATGGCACTGTTTGGATCCAGATTTCTGTGCTGGCAGAACTGGACTTCCCTGCTTCCTCCTCCCCATGGTAGCATCGCGAGGCCCCCACAAATACTACATAAAGAATCAGGAGACCCTGCTCAATGGGGTGTGCTGTGTTGTGGAGGAACCACCATATTTTGAGCAGAGGTCCCATTTTCTTACAGAAGGCAGGTCCTGGATCCAACTGAGAACATTTTTTCACAGAGTGCTGGTTCATGTAATACATTTCTCCTTATTTATTTTATTTATTATTTGCATTTATATACCACCTTAATAGCTCAGAGGGCTCTTTGCATGTTTACAAACATTAAACCCTGTACGTAGAAAAGCTTGCATTTTGCCTGGAACCAGTGGCTTCAGATATTTTTTCTTTGTAAGTGAAATACCATAATTGCCAATAAGTCATTTTAGTTTGGGGACAGCTGTGTGTGTGTGTGTGTGTGTGTGTGTGTGTGTGTGGGTGGGGTGGGGGTATACAAGGGCAGTGCAAGGTCCCAAAAAATCATGGACCAAGGTTCATGGGACAAAAAAAAATTCACAAATCTGCACATGCTAATTTATATACAGAAATATGTGTCTGTGGTAAGAAAGAATCACTATTGTTTAAATGTTACAGAAGACAAGCTAATTAACCTCCCACTTGCATTCAAGAAAGAACTGTGCAATTCCCAAACCGTTTTTGCCTAAAACTTACCCCACCTTTCCTTGTTTTTTCAGGCCCAAATCCAGCTGGAGCGGATGGAGTGCCTGGAACCAGCAAAGAGCTGGTTGGCACTGTAATCATGTGATGATCGATTGCAAACTGAATGAGGTACACTGGCAAAAAGAGAGTGCTGGAATGTAATGTAACTCATGCTCTTGGGCTACAAACTTATGCAATTACTAGGGAATTATCCCTACTAAGTCTAGTGTGTTTTTTTTAAACTTCTGTTTAAATCTTTAGCCTCTCTTTCCCCCCACTCCAGCACCAGCAGCCACACAAGCGCTGGATGGAGATTACAGCACTACAGGACATTGCTCTGCTGTTCCTGGTCCCTGGACCCACAGATGATGCACAGACAGCTGCTGACTAAGGTGGTTCCTCATTTTATTTCCAATACTTTCTTCTGGTAGCGTTTGGGAGTCTAGAACACTTTTTATGGCTCTTGGATTCTACTTTCTGGAAGTCCTAAAATCAACACCAAATTTTACAATATGAAAATTCTAGCTGTTACATAATCACAGAAATAATAAAGTATTAAAATGCATGATTGGGATTAATCAAAATTCCTGTTAAAGGTACTGCCCATTTGTGAGCCTGGGTTTTATAGTTCTCATGCAGCAGCATGACTCTTTGGTAATTTAAAGAAGAAACAACTGAAAAGTTATTATTCTCTAGGTTTTTCTCTAGATTCAAATATGGATTTACCTTCAAGGATGGATAAAAGCAGCTGCTGCTCTCAACACATTTACAAAAAAGTAAGACTCCAAATGTACATTTACCTGAGAGTAAACCTCATTGAACTTAGTACAACTTATTTTGGAGTAAACATGTTTAGGACATAGTCTTGAACACTTTTTGCTGCTCAGAGATCTCTTCGTAGCCTCAGATGTTTCCCTACAGCACATAATTTCCTGTACTGTTTCAGTTACCTTTTCCCACCCTGCAGGATCCTATGGTCATCTATGGATTTTGTTAACTGAGGCCAAGAAGCAAATGGAGCCTTCCCGGTAAATCCAACAAAGCTGGTCAAGTTGTTTAAGCCCCTGAGGCACACAATCCTACAAATATAATAATAATTAATAAATTAAATAATAATCCACGTGCTTTTTCATGATGTCCCAAATCAGATGTCTGAGGCAGCTGCCCCAGGCTCTAAAGTGAGTGAATATGTGTGACCCTCTAGACACTAGTAAAAAGGGATGTATAGACAGGGGAAAGGTGGCATTTGATTTCAGAGGGAAAAACTCAGGCAGAAAGATTGAAGGGGGAAGCACATGAGTGTAAAACCAGCTAATCCAGGAGTTGAAGCCAGCTAATCTCAGGGGATCAGATACAACAGCCTTTGTACCTGTATTTCAGCACGTACCTGTTTTTTCCCCACTTACATGAAAGCTAATGTCTTTCAAAATAACTTTCTGTACAGCAAACTTCTGTAGCATAAAAGCTCATTATGCCAAAGCAAACTGGGTGCTACAAGGCATTATGGATTTTGAATGCAAAAGAACAAGATGATCTCAATCTCCCCTTTCTTTCTCTCGTCTAATGTCAGGGAGGACCACGCACCCAACAGAATGTGCTTACATGGATCATGTGCATTCCAGAAAGATGAAAGAAGACCCAAGGCACTCCAGACACACTCCAGCAAGCCAGAACAAGCTGTACACTCATATAGTACCTTGCCACAAATTCAGACATTGCTGCTCATTCAAGCATTATTTTGCAAGCATGCCCACTTCTATTTCACCCCAGAGTAAGGGGCCTAAACCAGCATGGATGGCCCAAGATGAGGAAAGCCTCCGGCACACCATTGGCTATATGAGCAGCCAATGAGCCCGCTTTTCCTCTTGCCAAAGTCTTGCTGTCCATGATGGTCCATGGCACAAGTGTAACAGCCCTATAGAGTTGGCTGGGCAGGGCTGGGCAGAGTCAGGCACATTCTAAGAAAGGCTGGTGACAATGGAGACAGTTCTGAACTCTGGGCTTAGTGAAAATAATGACCAGAATATTGAAGGAAGGGTGGCAGTATGAGGCACCATAAAAAAGCTGGTGTCCTCATGCCACATTCCTTGTTTGTCCGCTATGGGATGAATCCCAAGATTCCCTAATAACAGCAGCACTGCTGAGTTCACAGGGAAGAAGCAGACTTGTACTAAGGCAGGTGATGGCACCTGGGCAATTCGAAAGATTTGGTACACTGCTCAGAAGATCTAGGGCTCATGCCTAGGCAAGCTTTGTTAATGCTTCCCAAGGGGAGGCAGCTGGGATTTTTCTGTTCAACAGAGTATACATTAAATATAATAATACAAAATATTTTCTTGATCTTTTGCTTTCAGTTGTCACTACAAGGAGCCAACTCTACGCTTTACATACACATACAGA